ATCGGTTTGTTTTTTTGTACATCTAATTCGACAGTGGTTTTAACAGGAGCCCACTGCTTGTCAGATGTGATGGCTGTGAAGAGCCGGAGATGTTCTCTTGAAGGGGCTCTGTGAAGCACAGTCACTTTGAACAATGTCTCCAAGAGGTGCTGTTCGCATGCTGAGGGCCCCTTTCTCTTCCTTCAGCCTTTCTTCTTCATTTCTCTTCATTCTCATAAGTGGAAACTTGCAAGGGGGGTTGGAGAGGTCGGTTGCAAGCCTAGTCTGACTGGAAGCCCTTCTCTCTTCTCTGAGTGTTCAATTCCTCAAGTTACACAACAGGGAAGCTTTTTATGTTTGTCAAAGCGCAGACAACTTTGGTCATGTCTCTCTCGCGCTTTCATCCCGAGTGGGAGGGGGGCCGACGTTCGATGTTCCTTTCGGTGGGATGCTTTGCTCATTAGTGGAAGGGACTGGAAGCTCTAACACAACATGTCTCCTCTGAAACAGGTGTGGAGGAAAAGGCCAGTGGGCCGGAATGGCCCCTGCAGGCTTACTGTAAGCGCCGCGGGTCGCTGTGCCAAAAAAGCGGGGGAGTGAAGGAGATGGAAGGACAAACATGGGCTGATGTGATGTGTCTGTTTCCTGACACCAGACATCCAAAGCTGCAAAACAAAAGATGACACAAATACAGCGGATGGAGGAGGAAAGAGCAGACAGAGACATCGGCCTATGGTTAACCACTAAACCTGAGACACCGCATAAAATACAACACTGTTGACACATCCAGCTTCAGGAAGGATAGGTCATAACCCAGGCATGGGCAACAAGGCTTTAGAATTGACTGGACTGGAAGTATCTTTAATTCGCAGAGGTTTCATGAGATGGATGGTTTGTTCAACCAAAAATGTTAATTCTGTCATAATTTATTCACCCTCATGTCAAAGAAGATATTTTGAAAAACGTAGTTTTGGGGTATAGTCTGTGTTGTTTTGGACCTCATGGGCAAAAATATTTCAACATATCACTTTTCAAAATATCTTCTTTTGTGTTCCACTGAAGAAAAACACAACAAAAGAGTTAATGATGACCGAATTTACATTTTGGGGGGGAAGTGTCTATGATGATGGTAAACTCAGAAACAAGGGAAGAATGGATTCAAGTGCAGCATAAATTAATATAAAGATAAACCAAAAACATACAAGAAACAGGACAAAACAAGAAGCAATGCTGAGAGTCTGAAGATATAAAAGTTAATCTGCTGGATCTATTGGGTAGGTTAGGACTTGGTTGTCTTTACTAGTGTTTAGTTGGTGTTCTTCTGTAGTTCAGGTTTTGGTTTGCTTTCTGTTTTTGTCCAGTTTTCTTTTCCATTTATCTTTATTAAAATTAGTCTGTACTTAGATCCAGCCCCCATCATTTCTGAGTTCACCATCTTCACAGAATCCCTTTAAAAATTGTTTTTAAATTCACATTTAGTCCTTGGCATAGACAACTGATTTTTTTTAATTACCCAGCTCTATAATATATAAAAAAATACATTTTATTTGTATCATCTTATCAATTTTCTGATCATCAGTAAGGTAGTTTGATCATTTAAATCCTCTGAAATATAAACATTTCTTCCTGGGCTATCTAATAACTTGCAGTCATGACAGATTTACCAATTTCTCCTTGGATAAGGGCAACAATATCATATCAGATATTGCTCTTCAGAAATGGAGCATGAACCTATCTGAGTGCATGGCGATTGTATATGGCAGTATATCTTCACAAGCAGTCTATCTCAGTTATCCAAAGGGCAATGCATGTAAAAACAGATGTATGATTTGACATTAAACTCAAAGTAAAAGAGGGTGACAGTCACAAAATCCCAAAACAGATTTAGAAAATTCACAGACATCCCCCTCTGCGTTTGATGGCCATTGACTGTAAATGCCAATGCTTTGGGTTATCTTTTAATTCCAGGTTATGTTTCAAAAAAATAAAGTAATATAAAAATAAAATAAAATCTTTTGTTTTATATGGTCGAGACCAGCTGTTCTCCAGCACCAGCACCAGCAAATATACCACTACTAAAAAGAATGTGCTACTTCTAAAATAAAATAAAAAAATCTCTGCATATGATAACTTAATGTAAATGGATCTGTTTAATAATTATATTAATATATAATAATTCTGAGCTTTATATTTCTTTTTTGCAAATAGCTGAATGGATATCTCTGACCATGTAACTGCTTTGAATAAGTGTAAGAGAAGTAAAAGTCAAGCCACAGGACTTTCACTTTGTGTGTTCAGGTAAGTGTATTCTGGGTTTTGTTTGACACAAAATTAGAGCTTTCTCTGTGGTTGGCTGATACTGTCACCTGTTGTTCGAGGCTGGACATTACACCCAGGCCTACAGTAATGACACAAGCAGGTAGGTCATGGATGTTCAGAATAGCATACTACCATATTACTTTTAAAATTCCTGCATAGTATGTTTATACAGTGTATACTGTATGAACTGTACGCACATTTTCTGTATTGAATACATGGATGACCCATTACATTTCCCAAAATGTGCAACATACAACAGAGATTAGTGTATGGGTACTGCATCCCACACTGCAATGTACTTACCTTGACCAGCAATTGCTAGAGTAATGATTGAACAGAAAGAATATTATTAATCTTTGTTTATTCATTATTTGATAAGACATAACATGTTTTCACAAAATTGGAATAAAATCGCAAAATTACCACTTTTGGAGTTGCGTACATACAAAAGGATGAGATCATACAATGATGTATTAAATATTGAAATAATGTCATTTGATTCTGTTGTTTAAAATAGTATGCATTATACAGTGTACACTGAGTATTCAGTGATTTGTAAGCTAGTATTCCATTCTGAACATAGCCAATGTCTTATGTAGAAACAACTGAGGAAAATAGTCCATGTAAATTATAAAAATACACATTTAATTGCAAAACTATTTTAGGAGCCTACTTTTCTTTCTCACTGTTGCTTGTCCCTTGCAGTGCAAACGAGGCTCATCTGCCAAACGGCACTATTTTAAATCATTAATCTCTGGGCGAGTGTGCTGTGTGGACATTCAGATTCCCATAATGTTCAGCGGCTGACAGCAGCCATTTTCCATGGACGAGAGGGCTGAAGAGGCCTGTTGACCCCTTTCCACCACAATCTTCCCTCATCACACTGTGACTTCATTAACTCTCAGGGCAATTTCAGGACTTTTTCCAGGCGTTGTCATTATACAGTGTGCTGTCAATTACACAAGCCTGCTGCTTAAAAGAAATCCAATGATAAAAGTTCTCTAAAAGCCAAAAGGTCATCTTCTCCTGTTAACCTCAGACTGAATGTTTTTTTACTCCTGATCTGAGCAGCATATCAGATGTGATCAATAATATTAGCTTAGTTTAAATCTTGTGCTTAATTGTTTCTCACATTCTTCACATTGTAGGAAGTATACCTTAAGCCTTGTGAACAGTGGTGTTATAGCTAGATCTGTGAAAAAAACACAGCTATCACACAGAACACTCAAAGGCAAAGGGATAAAGATACTGCTTTGTTAAAGGAACAGTAGGTGAATCATGGAGAAATGCTGCCCTCTACTGAAACTAATGTGCTACAGCACATACAGACATACAGAGTATTACAGTCAAAACAGTTACCAATGGACTTTAGCAAACAGTGGCTCACAGCACAACAAAGGCATGAAGAAACAAAAGGAGAAATCTTACAAATCTTATATTTTGAATTTGTTTTGATTTTTTATTGCGTTTCATTATAGGCTACACCATAGGCTGATCCGCACAATTTCAAAAATTTCAGGTTTTACTAACCTTGTGTGGACATTGTATGAATGTTATTTAATGTGTTTGTGTGATTTATATATTTTATAATATATTTGGGGGGAAAAGACTAATAGCACTATCACAAAACAATTTAACAAAGTCAATTCTGAAACACTTTTTTCAAGCAAACACACATAAGCAATGCACGCATCTTAACCAACCAGACAGAAACAAAGCTGTTCATTCATGATGCACTCCAATAAGCGATGTTCATCTGTCTAAACAGATAAATAAACTCCTCTCTTTCTCTCTTCCCTATCAGTGCCTCAAAATGATATATGAAGTGCCACAGACGGCTTTTTCAGAGAGACAAATGCCAGTGACAAAACTTTTTACTAAAAGATTAATAATTGTTAATGAAAATTATGCTGTTTAAAATAAAAAATGACGACTTATCATTGTTAAATATAAAGTGCAATTTCTGGAAATCTACTACAATGAAATTCATACATTTGAAGTATTTTAATTCTCAAATACTTTAGAGCCACTGTAAGTGTATATACAAAGAAAGAGAATAAGAAATTATTGTGGTCCAAGTTGTGTATATGAGACAAAATTAATGTATCTCCAGTACTAAACCATTTTTAAACATGTATAAATCACAGACAAGCTCAAATTACTTTTTTACAATTTACTTAGTTTTTTTGTTTTGTTTCCTTGCTAAACTAAATGTGACCTCATATTCACTTTAAATGTGAGGTTAAAACTTTTGGTAAATAACCTTTATTGTCTGTATGAGAACTGTTAACATTTTGGACCCCGGGTATAAAACATAAAAAAGCACTACATTTTTCTGGATTTGTTTTATTGCGACACTTAGACAACAATTAGAAATACAATGAATGTTAGACATAAACAGGATTACTTAAGATATTTGTATATGCTGTTTTTTAAATTAAAATTATGCCAAACATCATTTAGATACATTTGCTCAACTATTCAAATCCACGCCAGAATATTCTCAGATTAAACCAGAAAAAAAACTAGATGGTTATTATTAAGGTTTTAATTAAAAGAAAAAAAAGAACAATAGCTTACATTTTCTGAAAGAAATCATTTAAATTAATAAATGCATTTGCTAAATTCACACAAACCTGAAAATCGTTAAAAACAAAGTTCACAAAACTAACAAGACAGAGGCTTGCAGAGTAAAAAAGGACATATAAATAAGTATTTATAATAAAAAAGAATAGGTCAAAGCAACTACTACTCAATTTACTACAACCAAAGTTACTCTGAAACGCTGCATCATTCCCTTACTTTCCCCCCGAGCAGCAAAGCTTTCCCATCAGACAGAGACTCGCCGTCGGCTGCATCTGTTTCAAATGTAATAGATGGCACTGGTACGCTTACAACTTTGTGTGTCTTCTCCGGCTTCTGCCCACTGGAGCTGTTCGTACTTGACCCTGGTGAAAGAATGACAGTATCTGTAGAGATCTCCGTGGACACACGACGACCAAATTTCAGGGAATTAACACTGGAACCATCAGCCTCACTCTCAGTCCAGCAAGAATCACTATCTGAAGCAGAAGACAAGCGCGTCTTCCCCCAGCGGCCGTTAGCTCGCGCACCATTGCCAATGCTAACCCCCAGAGAGCACTGGCTGGTGAGGGTTGGACGACGGGAACTGACACTACTGGAACTAAAAGAAGAACGAAGATCTTTCTCTTTGACGCGCAAGATGAGGCGGAGTACCGGAATGTAACGGCTAATAGCCGCCCGATACTTCGGATGCGTAATTGCGTAAATGATGGGATTATGGATGGCTGAGGCCTTAGCAATCACAGCAGGTACTGAATTCATGTAGGGAGTCAGGAGATGGGAATAGCCAGCAGTGGCGGTGAGGGCCACCACAGAGTAAGGCGACCACGATATTACAAAAAGCAAAATGACAAGGAGGGCGACTTTCGCCATCTTCCACTCGTTCTGCATGCGTTCATACACCTTGTGCGTTTCCCCACAATTCAGCTCTTGTATTTCCTTCCCCGCAGCTCGGATAGCTTGGAAAATTCCAAAATAGCAGCTGGCAATAATGCCTAGAGGGATGAAGAACACAAAAATGAAGAGGAGGATGGTGTATGCACGCACTGATGGAGTGAATGTCATATAGTCCCAAGAACAGGAAGTCTGAAGACCCTCTGGAACATAAGCGCTCCAGCCAAAGAATGGTGGAAGGCTCCAGCCCAAGGAGTAGAGCCACAAGACGGCCAACACCAAGCCTGCTTTGCGTCGGCTAACTCTGTCTACGAGGGCGAGAGGCTGAGTTATGGCGAGGCAGCGATCGCCAGCAATGGCGGTCAAAGTCATCATGGAACAGATCCCAAAGAGAGCACCGCAAAAGGCGTAGAGCTCACAAGAGCGCTCGCCAAACACCCAGCGCCTGTGCAGACTAGCTGTGAAGAACACGGGCGACTGGGTGAGGGACATGAAGAAATCAGCAACTGCCAGGTTCACCACAAACATGTTCCCTGCGGTTCGAAGAGTACGGCTCCGGCAGAACACGTAGATCACCAGCGCATTTCCAATCACTCCGGTGATGCCGACTATTAAGATGACAGAACCGATGATGTAGTGGGCATGATCAGGAACATCCACGGTGGGGAAAGGGTGTGGAGGCTCATGGTGGTGGTTGTGGGTCGACCCTTGGAAAGGCACATGGAGCAACTTGTAGCTCCTGCTGCCCAGTGACTCCTTAAAGCCTGCAGTGCAGTTAATGTCTTCAGGGGCACAATGATGCCCTCTCCATGAGGAGTGATGGCTCATGTTGTATGGTTTGATGTCTCAGTCGTAAATTTATTGTATACAAAACTGATGGTAATTTTGTTTAGAGAAGCGAAAAAGCAGTTAAATTCTCGTGTTAAATAATAAACAGTGCTGGTCTCCTCTCTGTGTCAGTCTGTGAATGGTGGTTCCCTACATTAGCTTTTTATATACTAATCAATGCAGCACCAAGTTATTATTGATCAGTAAGTAGTTTGTGGCTTGGCCTGTCATAATGGACAACAATTGTCTTGGCCTACGGTTATAGTAAAAAAACTAAAACACTTTAAATCATACTGAACCTGTTGCTATTTCTGGACGTTTGTGCTTTAGTCTTTATTTTATAAGAAGAAATAAAAAGATACATTTGTATACAGAGTATTGGTAAATTTTACCCTGTGGCTATTAGCTAAAATTATGTATAATATTGTATACTATATACAATTGTATATTGTATAAGTATCAATGTGTCATTTGAAATGTTGGCAGTGAGTTGGATAACACTGTGAGAGGTAAAGAGGTCACCAGGAGGAAATGTAGACCATGAAAAGCTGTTTTCGATTTTTAGAAGTCATTAACTACAAAAGTGTTTCCACTGTTTATTGTTTAGAGAAGCAAATTAGGGCAGATGTTGATAGAAAAAAGCACATTTTGACCCAAAATAAGGGTATATGGATTGTTTGAGTGGATGCAGTGAGCCAAATCAATTTATGCAATGTGAAAGTGGAGCACAATGACTGTTCCAATAAAGACTGATTAACATCCCTCATCATGGGAACAGCTCACTGACCCGAACATGGACTGAAATGATTCTCCCTGTTCCAGTTAAATAATGATCAGCCAATAGCCTTCAATCCTTTTCACGACAGAGACTTGGCCCACTTTAGAAGAAAAAAAAACTCTCAGCAGTTATTCTTAAAACTGAATTTAGTTTTATTTTGACCTTGAGTTTTTAGTGAGTGGCAAAAAGTATGTGAACAAGCCATTTCTAATTAATGAGCAAACTATTTGGCACGGCCCTTTAATTCCAGGGTGAAAAAACAAAAAAATACTCAGACTTACAATGACATTCTTTAGAATAGTGTGCTCCCAAATTTGAGACAACAATTTGGAAAGGGCTTTTTTCTCCAACAGCATGACAATGCCCCCTTTGTGCACAAAGCAATGCTCATAAATTAATGATTTACTAAGCCTACACAAAAGCCCAGACCTGAACCCCATTGAACACCTGTGGAATAAAAAGAAAAAAATGACTGCGAGTCAGGCCCCATCATCCTAAATCTTTGTCTGACCTCACTGACACATGTCTGATTGGGAGCATATTCCTATAGAGGACTTACAAGAAGAGTGGAAACCATTAATGCCAAAGGTTTTGATATTTAATTCAACAACCATAATATGATGTGCTATTTGGGTGTCAAGATACTTCTGGCCATATAGTGTAAAGTTTCCATAATTGGTTGACTTCATTCACAATAACTGACCTTGAGATATCACTCGTCAACTAAACATTTTATATGATTTGTAAATGCCAGCAAATGAACCAAAGAACTTAGCTAAAATAATAATAATAATAATAATAATAACAAAAACATTAATCTGAGGTGGTTAGCTTTTTTATTAATATTAGTTAATCTTAACTTTTAAGGTAACCATTTTTATGTCTTTACAAATCTTTTAGAAATAATTTTATTTTAAAAAAATCTTACAGACTATACTTTAAAAATTAATATTCTGTGGACTTCCACACTAAAGCTATAATTATATTGTCAAGTGCATTATGTCATTCAAGGATGTCTGTCTCACAGGCTTGAAGGTGGCGGTAGGTCATGTTGCTATTGGTAATCTGTGATTTTTTTAGGTTGATAGTCTATATATTTACTCTCAGAGTTACCAGCAGTCATGAAGCCCTTGCCAGGTTTGTGCAGTTTCCTTGACCCCATTTTGAATTTCCATTCCGGTCCACATATGGGACTCATTCTCAGAGCTGGATGTGATGAAATAAGACATTCATTTTGATTCCAAATATGTCAAATTTGCTTCAGCAATATATCAACAGAAGATATAGAAGAGTAACTATTTGGATGTTATTTTGTCAGATTTTTACCTATACTTTAAAGATGGTTCTGCTCCTTGTGCTTGTAAATACACATCAAAAAGTACAGTTTCTGTATTGGCCAAACAAAACCCATTGGCACTTCTGACATCTGTAGAAAAGCATCATATATTAGCTTAAAAACTACAGTTTAAAATCAGTTCCGGATCAATAAAACAGGAGAACTCATGAACACACACCAGCTACAGTGACAGGACTCTGGTAGAGAAGCTGGATTGGTTCATACATGGTTTTCAAGGTGTAGTCAAAAGGAGAAGTCTTGAAAAATGTAAGAACTGCCTCAGAGTGAGAGAACTGGAAAATAAATTACTTGCATGATTATTGTACATACTATAGGGCATCAATGCATTTATTATTGACATAGGGAATTGACAGGCTAATCTAAAGAAGCAACTTTTGTGGCATTTTAATTATACTTCTCAAAAGTTTTTCGCCTTCATCCAACCTGGTTTGAACGTTATTGTTTTGCTCTGCTTCCTTTATCCTCTGTAGTGCTGATAAAACATACATAGAATAATGAAATCTCTTATCAGTTAAATGACCACTTATTTCAAATGTCACTAATGTACATAAATGTCATAAGCATCATTGATTGAGACAAACGTCCTCTGTCATCTGGAAATTATATACTTAAATTCCTAACAAGTTTCACTAGATCGTGGTATCTCCTTCGCAGATATGTTATGCTTTTTTCAGACCATTCAGTCCTAATCTCGAATCAGAGAAGCGCTCGAGCCCAAAGACCCAACAGTCATTCACGCTCAGCTGAGGAAAGGTCTCCATATAAACACCTGCCATAACTGAGTCGTATCATAAACACATTAAATATTCATTAATAATTAATTATATTTCGCAAATCTTCTTACACAAGCTGAACAAACTTAAAGGGGTCATATGATGCAATTTCAAGTTTTCCTTTCTCTTTGGAGTGTTACAAGCTGATTGTCCATAGATAAGATCCCTGAAGTTGCAAAGACTAAAGTCTCAAAACCAAAGAGATATTCTTTATCAAAGTTAAGACTCTGCCACACCCCCCTAAAACAGCTTCTCTCTAACACGCCCCCACATATCTACCTCACTATGTGGAAATATTTGCATAATGCCGCCCAAATGTTCAGCAAAAAAAAGAAGGCGTGGTTTCAGTAACTGCAGTTAGTGTTGAAGCAGCATGTCAGGGAGACGCTGTGTTTCTAGGCAAAAGCAAAAGCCCTTTATGTGGCCTTCCGAAAGTAGATGCATTTAGGAATCTTTAAGATGACTTACAACAGAACAGCAATGCATTTTATGAACGACCGTTTCGTGAACCTAGGAGAGGAGGTAATTCTGACTTTGCAATGATAATCTGGTGCTTCTGAATCATCTACTGTTTTGTTATTAATTTAAATATTTGCTATTGACTGTTCAAATGCGAGAGAGAGAGAGAGAGAGAGAGAGAGAGAGAGAGAGAGAGAGAGACCCCTTTAAAACTCCACTTTTCTCTTCGCCTGCAGATAATGAGCTCTGAAAGCTCCACTCGTGCACATTCCCTGTGAACTATCTACCAAAATTAGGAATTTCTCAAGTGGACGCATTCACACATCGATTAAATCCATGGAGGTCCTCTAGTCTGTTATTCTTGTTGGATAACTAAATAAAGCTTCCTCTGTTAATATGAATTTGGCTGCTCGTGCGTTGAGCAACAGGTGAAATAATCCAGTTTCTATTGGATTGGTAAATGGGATTTGCTTGTCATTTCAGTATTAGGCTTGCTGCATCATGGGTCAATCCTTTAATCGCTTACTATTTTAAAGTTATAATTAACCACCCACTAAAATGCAGCAAATAACATGTCTAAACACCTATAAAAATTACGTTTTGCATCACAGAAATCAATTACGTTTTATAAAACATTAAAACAGAATGTTTTTTTTTTTAATCGAAGCCTTGGTGAGCATAAGAGACTTCTTTCAAAAACATTTTTTAAATCGAACAGACCCCAAACTTTTGAACTGTACTTACTATAAAATACAACCATGTTAAGATGCAACACATCAATAGCAGTTTGGTTAAGATCATTTCCATCTAATACGGAATCAAATCAACAAGGAATGAAATCATTCCCATACTTGTCACAGAGGCTGCAGCAAAACTCTTTCCATCTAGAAACAGTGAGTCCAACAGATGTGTCACTCTTCAGGTGTCCCACTCTGTCCTTTCCTCTTTCACTGCTTTTTTCCCTAGCCACAACCTTGTTTTTCCCCAATGGGATTTGCTTGTCATTTCAGTATTAGGCTTGCTGCATCATGGGTCAATCCTTTAATCGCTTACTATTTTAAAGTTATAATTAACCACCCACTAAAATGCAGCAAATAACATGTCTAAACACCTATATTCCACTGACATAATATTTCAAAAGCAATGGCACATGGAATTTACTGAATTATTACAAGAATTGTGCATAATTAACAAAACAATGCTTTGACATTATAAAATTTAACTAAAATGTTTTATTAGAAATCATAAATATCATTCGGATGTCCATGCTCTTTGAGAAGGTGCTGTTTGGGAGCCAGAACCAGAGCTGTTCCTCTACCCCAGTGCTGCAGTTTGTTCGGCGCTGTGATGTTTCCTCTTGTGTCGCACCAGCAGCTGGCGGTCTGGTGTGGAATACTGGCACAGGTGACAAGGGAACGACTCTCCAGTGTGATGACGCCGTGAATGGAGGTCTAAGCTCTTCTTCTGGATGCTGAAGTGAAATGCAGAGCCTCATTGTTAGTTACAGATGTAGTATGAAACAAGTGTAGCCTGTCAACTTTATGACAGAAGAATGCAGGTACCTGCTGTAAGGACAGTACTGGCAGCAGTAAGGCTTTTCTAGAGTGTGTGTCCTTGAGTGTCGGCGCAGAGAGCTTCTGTCAATAGAAGCATAGGAGCACTGCGAACACTTGTATGGCTTCTCACCTAAAGCAAGAAGAAAAACACATCACTGGAATTCTCACACTCAGGCAGTGCAATGTCATGGCAACTTTTCCATGAGAACCAGTCTTTTGAAAGGACTTCCACTAAGCTCTAAATCTCTGCATGTCACCATGAGTCGTCTACATTTCTAATTAAAGTACCATGGGAAAGTCATTTATTGGCTCAGCTCAGATCATAATTTCTGTTTAGTGACCAGGGCTAATAAAGGCAGGGGACAAGATGCGTCACTGTAATTCCAAAACAATGATCTATTGCCCCTGTACCAAATACGTATACATAAAAAATTATGTTTGATATTAAAAGAAGATATGTGTTGTAGTTGCACCTGTGTGGACACGGAGGTGCTGTATGAGCGAGGCTTTGAGACGAGCGCAGTAATGGCAGTGGGGGCATTTAAAAGGCTTATCGCCTTGATGAATGCCCATGTGACGGCGCATTGTCATTTTGGTAGAAAACTTCCTGTACAGAGATAAAGATAAATTATAGAAAACTGACATTCAACAGTTATCTCAAAGGAAAAAGAAAGTTATATGGCATATAAATGAAATGTTTAATTTATCCAGACAGATACTACGTAAATCACTTCAGTGCATTTCCACTATAAGAATATTATACACTACAGTTCAAAAGTTTGGGGTTAGTAAGATTTTTTTTCCCTAAAGAAATTAATACTTTTATTCAGCAAGGACATTGGTCAAAAATTCAGCAACGACAATTGACACTGAAGAGTGGAGAAATTACGTTTTGCATCACAGAAATCAATTATGTTTTATAAAACATTAAAACAGAATGTTTTTTTTTAAATCGAAGCCTTGGTGAGCATAAGAGACTTCTTTCAAAAACATTTTTAAAATCGAACAGACCCCAAACTTTTGAACTGTACTTACTATAAAATACAACCATGTTAAGATGCAACACATCAATAGCAGTTTGGTTAAGATCATTTCCATCTAATACGGAATCAAATCAACAAGGAATGAAATCATTCTCATACTTGTCACAGAGGCTGCAGCAAAACTCTTTCCATCTAGAAACAGTGAGTCCAACAGATGTGTCACTCTTCAGGTGTCCCACTCTGTCCTTTCCTCTTTCACTGCTTTTTTCCCTAGCCACAACCTTGTTTTTCCCCCTGTTCTTCCTAACCTGGGACCACGACTCTGGCTTCATCCTTCTCAAGTATTCTGGGTACTTGGTGGATGTGTCAAGCTGCTGGTTTTCTCTGCGTACAGACAAAGAAGTCGTCATTCAACAGTGGCTTTTAAGCAGAGTAACAGAGTCAACCATTTCACCATATTCTCTTTAAGGCAGTGGCTTTTTTGACTCCAACAATATTTAAATACATTTTTAAACTGTGGACACACTCAGTTTCTGTAAATTATATTCCCCCCTTGTGAGATCCCCCTCTCCCAGTTGAGAACCAATGCTTTACAGCATTTTGAATTAAATTAAACGTGAATGAAAACATCTGATACTTACCTACTGTGAGCAACCTGTTTCTTTTGACTTGTATCAAGCTGTTTGTGTTGTGTATGAATATGCTTCAGGGTCTTCTTCCATGACTTCTCTAAAAGAGAAATATAAAAGATAAATAAAAAAAATAGAGGTAAAGCAAAATTCAAAACAAATAAAGCAAGTCAAAGAAATAAAAAAAATGATATGAAATATTTAAAAAATATATTAAACAGTTCGGTTTTTACAAGAATTTTATCAAATCTTGAATTTAAAAAAAATATTTTTAAAAATAACTTTTGGGTCTAGACAAATATTAAAAACACACTAAAAACAACAACACTACTATAAACTTATTATTTTAAGGTGTGCTTGTTATACGTTACATGTACTTACTATTATAACAACAATTAATTATGAGCCAAACCTTAATCCTAAACCTAACCATATAGTAAGTACATTTAGCTAATTAATATTACTTAGCACTTAAATGTATAATTACACTGTAACAAGGACACCTTAAAATAAAGTGTAACCAACTTATATAGTGACTATGCTATGGAACACAAACTGAGTCTTAACTGGATATATTTAGACTGTCAATTCAGCAATGACATTTTTGATTTGACCATACACATATATTAACACAATATCTACGATTTCAAAACCTACAAGTATCAACCCTTTCAAGGTGTACAGTATATTTAAACCAACAGCTTGTCACAACAAAACTTCCAATTACAACAAAGTAAATTCAGTTTAATAAGAAAAAAATGATATGTACCTTTGAAATCACAGTGTAAACATTTAAATTCTCCTTGAAAATGACATTGTTGGTGTATCTCCCACTCCTTGTCTGAGTGACACCATTCCAGACACAGAGAACATTGCACCAGACCCCCAGACTCAGACTGACAGTGATGCCGCTGACTATGCCTTTCTTCATGTGCATCACGAGAGTCAGCTCTCCTAAATGTCCTGGGGCAAACGCTACATTTATGCCTCTTTGAGCCTTTTCTTTTTCCATGTCCTCTCCAGTGTTGCTCCATATCAACCCAGTCTTCTGATTCCCAACCACAGCGAGGGCACCTAAAGGCTTGGTCTCCACAATGGCATTTCAGGTGCACCTCTAGCATGCTACGACTGGATACAACTGTCTGACAGAGGATGCAGGCCAATCTGCCGTCCTCCTCAGATGGCTTCTGCATTTCAGCATCCATATTGGCATCTCCAGCATCCTGCTCACCTTCTGGATGGGACAGGCTTTTTGCTGAGGACGCGGACTTAGGTTGACACTTAGTGCTTGAAATTCTGCATAACCCAAGAGTCATGAGATGAGCCGACTGGGCCATCTCTTCATCCTGGATTTCTGTAACCATTCCACTGTTCAAAGGAACGGCCAGATCTGTGTTATCATCCTCCAGCTGAAACACAGGTTCCTCCTCGCTATCCCCATCATGCCTATCCTCCTCAAAGAGTGTGCTTACCTTCATAAAACCAACATTTACAGTTACATTTTTTCACATTTCAAACTAAATAAATGAGATTGTTCACGCAAAATGAAAATTATGTCATCATTTACTCACTCTCATGTTGTTTCAAATATCTTTTGAAGAAAGCTGGTAACCAAACAGTTTTTGATTGGACAAAAAATACAATGGATGTCAATGGGAACCAAAACTGTTTGGTTACCAACATTCTTCAAAATATTGTATGTTCCACAGAAGAAAGTCAGTCATGCAGATTTGAAACAACATGAGGGTGAGGGTGCACTATCCTTTTAACATTGGAGGAATCTTTAAAGTCACCTCACAAGTTTGTGCCACATGCAAATTGCCATCAGAGTTGGAGCCCAGGCCAATGTCACATGACCGTGGGCTGATGTTTTGAAACATGCCATACATTGGGAGGAGGAAAGACATGCGCTCCATGTCCATCTGATCCTCGTTGCTTTTTGAGCCAGAATGGAGATCACTCTCTAGGTCGTATGGAGAGCTGTTGTGGTCGACCTCCTCTTCATCATCAACCCTCATTCCTACACCCAAACACTCTTCATCCTCTTTCTCCAGACATGACAGATGGGGACACGGGGACACTGGATCATGTCTTTTCAAGACATGATGGCTAATCTTGGCTTTTTGGCTGCTGGTAAACTGACAGACTCTACATCGGTATACTTCAACTAAGAAAGCTTCCACTAAAGTGGACACATGAGCTTCGATGCCCTCGGCTGAGCTGCAGTAGAGACTGGAAGTGACATTTTCTTCTGCAAGTCGAAGGGTTACTGGTTGAACGTCTTGGTATGCATCTTTAAATCCACCCATTCTTGGAAACAGTGGAGAAGAAGGAGAATAGTTCAGCTAGCCAGTCATTAGACAGTCTTGTAAATTATCTGGTGTATGAAACATTCAGTGTTTTGCACTTCAACAAGGCTATTGGGGATTGGATATATTCATAGCTAATTAATTAAGTAGATTTATTGTACAGCCTGTTATTGCACAATGATAATGTCAGACGTACAGACTGTAGAATGTGGTCAGTCAACAACATATAAACTACTAGTTACCTAACGTTACTAGCCCTACTAGCATCAGCTGCATTAAACACAAACGTCATCCAATATTTCAGAAAACAAGCTATATTTGTGAATTAACTGTTAAATCGTTCACAGTTTAACTATATATATTTGTTTGTGTGTGTGTGTATGTTTAAATGATGTGCGTACCTGCATCAAACGGCGTTGTATCTTTAAATTACTTAGCTTGTGTTGTAGACGTAAACGTGCGATTTAGGGACCACGGCGTAATTACCCTACACACATACAGCGTAAAATGTTCCATTTGCTACATTTGTTTTCTGTATTGACAAACCTAAACACTGCTCTCATGAACAAACACAATATTTGACTGGTTTATACTAAGTGTGTGGGCAAAAATAGGGAACAATAAATTTAAGACGACTGTTCGTAGCCACGTAATTTTTAAGATCCCTGCCTTCATGTTCGTTCTTCTGAGTTTCTGTGCGCATGCGTGGTTTGTTAGAGGTCCAAACGATTGATTCAACGATTCAGTCAATTTGTTCTAAATTTGCACTGTACAATAATGTATACCGAGAAGGAAATTGTAATAACATTTTAAATTGATATTTGGAGGACAGTTTGATTGCTTATTTTTAAGTTAGTACTGGTAGCATAGCCTGACTGAATTGTGAATCGACTCTCTTTGTCAATCGACTCAGCCGGAATAATCAAGATGGCGAACATGGACGTGTTAGCCAAAACAATAGCAAAGGATTATGTGTAAGTAACACCTTTACAGACTTTATATTGCATCATTTTGGTATTTAGATATACAAATATAGGTTACGTGTATTGAAAAAGAAAACGTTTCCGTACAACTTTTTTAACTAGTAGTTTTCTGTCAGTATCAGTTAACGCACTTCTCTGTCTCGGTGGTCAACATAAACCAGCTGTATGTTTTGTTTTTATTTTGTATATACTTTAAATTAACAACAATGGAACATACGACTTGAATACCTTGTAACTCTGGTCATTTATCAAAACCAGACTATCTTGGTAGTTCTCTTTGGAAAGTATATTAATATTATTTTACTGTAATTTACTCTTTTCCAGAGATGATGTGGAGAGCTCTGACAGTGTGGATGAAAGTGAATATGTACCTGGTGAAGATGGAGCTAGAAAAGCAGATAACATGGACATTGCCAGGGTGGAAATACACAAGAGAAGAAAACACAAACATCGGAGCAAGCACAGAAAACATAAATGTCCCTCAGCAGATGACAGGGACCACAAGCACAAGTACAAACGCAAACATAAGCGGAAACACAGAGACTCACTCCGGGATGATCAAGACTGTTCTGCTGGCTATGAAGGTGCAGTCATCTCTCCAAAGCGATCCAGACTTGATGACCTTGCTGCTCTGGAGTATCTGGAGAAACAAAAGGCCATGATTCAAGCAGAGCTTGATAATGAGCTGATGGAAGGGGCTGTGCAATCAGGTATGGGACTGATATTACAGGGTTATAACTCCGATTCAGAGGAGGATGAGGAGATCCAGCAAGCTGTGCGAAATGGTGAGCAGAGAGAAGATTTTGATGAGCAAGTAATAGCGATGGGACATATTGGAAGATCTCGACAGGATTACATAGATGATGAAAAAATTGATCCCTGGCTGGAAGACAGAAGCATGTCTGACGAGATGGCAGTTCGGGCCCATAAATCAGAAAAAAGAGTAAGTAAGAATGGGTTAGATGTTAACATCAGTGAGAAACCTTGTAGTCCCATCCAAGCAAGGGAGTGGAGACGATCCCGAAGCAATGAGAGATCCAAAGACAGTGGTCAGAGGTCTAAATCTCCTGTGAAGTCCAAGGGATTGCCACCAAGCAACAGAAAATCAACTACACGGCCTGAAGTGCAAATTGAAGACCACAGATCCTCAGAAAGAAGGAGCAAGTCAAGGTCTAAAGAAAGAAACACAAGCTTGCCAGAATCTGACAGAGAGAGAGACAAAAAATCTGTTAATGCACCCTCAAAAGAAGCATCATCTGGAAAAGAGAATCAATCTCCTAGCAGAAAACAAGGTCCAGAACAGCACAGTCTATCTGTTCGGCCTAGGGGCCACCGCTCACCTGAACGCTTCCCTGTTGTTCAGAGCACAGACAGGGCATCCAGACAGGACAAATCTTCATGTCACAACAGACCCCCTCCAAGGAGAGGCCCATCTCAGTCTTTTGAGAGGAGACGGAGAGAAGAACGACAGAGATTCTCCAATGATAGGTTCTAGCTCTGTTTGTTTACATTTTTGATAGATTATTACTGATAATGTTCTTATGAATGTTCCTTGTTGTTACCCAAAATGAAACTTCTTTTAAACTCACTTTCATATTTTGTTATACTCACAGGATGCGATCTCGTGATGCCACAGAGGGCCATAGAGAGGAGAGTCCCTCTCTGAACTCCAGACGAAGGTTAAACCACTCCCCTGTCAGACGAAGGTCCCGTTCTCCCAGGAGACTAACCAGCAGGTCTCCTCTTGCACACAGGTGACTGGTGTGTGCAAGCATTTAAAAAATGTGCAATTCCTCATTTAGAGGATACAGTACAACTATTCAATAAGCTTCAATGAGCTAAAAGTAAATGCACAATGAATAATTTATAAATTTGTATCTATTTTACACATCCTCTGTAAAAATAGCGGTAAAAGGATTTGGTTTGCTGTCCTTGAACGAGGGGCTTTAATGGAATTTTAATGACAAGGGGCATCACATTTACATCTGAATGCTAATTTACTTATTATAACATCTCTCAGTAGAATTAAAACGGCATTAATATTGTGTAGATCTAGGGAGCATGGCAGGATGGAGCGCAGACTGCAGGTGCGTTCGGGATCACAGGAAAGGAGGAAGAGAAGGAGCAGGGAAAGAGAGGACATGTTTAAGGGCAGTCTGTCTGAAGGAATGAAGCCTGAAAAGGAGGACTCAGATGATGACGTGTGAGTATTAATGATTATAATGAAAATGCTTTTATGTTGCTGATCATATTTGGACTTAATCATGAATACTAATCGGTGTCTAGGCTGGAGGATTATGACGTTGATGAAGAGGACGAGGAGGCTTTGATAGAGCAGCGGAGACTTCAGCGCTTGGCCATCATTCAGGTTAGGATATTTTTATCTATTGTGTGGCTTATACTTTGTTTTACACTAATGTAACGTACACTAAAGTACACGATTTTTTTTAGGAAGAAATTAATACTTTTATTCAGCAAGGATACATTAAAATGATCAAAAGTGACAGTAAAGACATAATGTTACAAAAGATTTCTATTTCAAGAAATGCTCTACTTTTAAACATTCTATTAATCAATTAATTATAAATAAAAATGTTTCACAGTTTCAACAAAACCTATTAAGCATCACCACTGTTTTGTTATATGTTTCCAACCCCCAGACTTTTGAACGGTAGCGTATGTAATGTAATTGTATCTGTAATGTGTCCTGTACAGAAATATAAGCCAGTAAATGAGGACAGTAACATATCAGGACTCTCGGATCACGGCAGTCCTCAGAGTAGCACTCAAAGCAGATCGCCATCACCTGATGACATTCTCGAGCGTGTGGCTGCTGATGTCAAAGCCTACGAGCAAGAGAACCTGGACACGTTTGAGGATAATGTGAAGGCCAAGCATAGTCTTGTTTCTCAAGAAAAAAATGGTATGTCATCTGCAAAATCTTTGAATTAAAAGTGAACTTTCCACATTAAAAAGTTTTACAAATTAAGTTTAACAATCATATTTAAAATGATGTACACATACATCAGATAAACGGATATATTGTACAAAAGGTTTTCCCCGCTCATTTTGAGATCGCATGACCAGTGAGTGCTCACGACTACTCATCTAGGGATGGATTAAAAATCCTACTTATTCATATGCAGTGATCATAAAATTTTGAATTATTTTTGCTGCCCAATAATCTATTTAAAAATTTTACATTTTCACAATTTGTTAGTTTATAATATTTATAATAAATACCTACACATAGGATATTTCTGTGACAGCACCTAGTAACTAATAACATTTGCTTGATGCTACATCCATGCCAACAGGTGTCAGTATAAAATCTAAGATGGCTCTCATATCAGTTATTTAGGAAGACAAAAAGAAAGAGTCATTGAAATTGGAGGCATGAAACATTTACTCTGATGTAATGTAAGGTCTGATACGTTGTCAGCAAGTCTACGTTCCTTTCATTGCATCATTGTTCTTTTTCTTTAGGTGGTAATCTGAAAAAGCCACCAGCGCCTGATATGTTCACAGAGTCAGATGACATGTTCACTGCTTACTTTGACGTGAGTAGCCAAGTTCCTGCTTTCCATTGCATAGGTCAATGGCTTTGCAAGCTCCAGAATTTGATTGAATTTGTCCATGTAAGGGGATCTCTACAGGTAGAGTTGCATAGTCCTGTGCAAGCTGTTGTTTCTCTGCTGGAAACTTTGTTGAAAGCTTTTTTCCCCCAAGTATGTAATCTGACTCTGGTGCTCACTGGATCTCGAGGCCCCTCAGACTTTGAAATGGTCTCTTACGGTGTCAGTCACTTGTTCATGAATGAAAATTTTAATCAACTCTCTGAATTCAGTCATGTTGACAGTGACAAATCCACATATAATCTCTCTCCGCAGAGTGCCAGGTTACGGGCCACAGGCATTGGCAAGGACTTTAAGGAGAACCCAAGTCTCAGAGATAACTGGACAGATGCAGAGGGCTATTACCGTAAGTTGTTGTCTTGAAGCAAATGCTGTATTTCAATCTATAGAATCCAAAACTTGTTTATAAGATTGAAAAATATCTAGGGTCTCATGTTAAAGAGGACATCAAAAACATGATTGTTCTTTTAATGTATTCAGGTGTGAACATTGGCGAGGTGTTGGACAAACGGTACGGGGTGTACGGCTATACTGGACAGGGTGTCTTCAGTAATGTGATCCGAGCCAGAGACTTAGCCCGAGCCAATCAGGAAGTGGCGGTGAAAATAATCCGCAACAATGAGATGATGTAAGACACTTCCATTAAAAGCTGAATGCTTAGCCTTTAAACACTTCTGTCTGGTACAGTTGGATTTCTTATCAAACCACAATGTGTGGAGTTGGCTAAGTCCACAGTTTTAATGTTCTCAATAAATTGTGTCATAGGGAATTATTTGGACAGGAACTGAGATTTAGAGTAGGTGTAGATGTGGTCTTAACGTGACAGACAGCCACATGTTTTGTCCCACAGGCAAAAGACAGGCCTCAAAGAGCTGGAGTTTCTGAAGAAACTGAATGACGCAGATGCAGATGATAAGTTCCACTGTTTACGGCTCTTTAGACACTTTTATCACAAGCAGCATCTGTGTCTGGTGTTCGAACCACTCAGGTACATTACAGTCAACAAATTCACATGCATCAAAGCAGCTTGAGTTCTTCTCTTAAAGCAACTTTCTTGTTTTCTGGCTGTAGCATGAACCTGCGGGAGGTGTTGAGGAAGTATGGTAAGGATGTTGGGCTACACATCAAGGCTGTGCGTTCGTACAGCCAGCAGCTTTTCCTGGCCCTCAAACTCCTCAAACGCTGCAACATCCTGCATGCTGACATCAAACCCGACAACATTCTAGTGAGTCACAATTCTTGTACCATAAATATTGGACACTGACTTCCATCTCTCTCTTAAAATATGAACATATTTGATATGCTGTAGGTGAACGAATCCAAGACCATCCTCAAGTTGTGCGACTTTGGCTCAGCGTCACATGTGGCTGACAATGACATAACACCATATCTGGTCAGCCGCTTCTACAGGGCACCTGAGATCAGTAAGCAAAAACATAACAAATCAAATTAAACCATCTTAGTTACCTGAAAATAAAGAGTTTTAATAAATGCATCTGAACTTGGGCAATGCTTGTTTTTAAGCTTAAAGAGTTTTTCTTCCTCTTTTTTTGTAGTCATCGGAAAGTCATATGATTACGGAATCGATATGTGGTCTGTTGGCTGCACTCTCTATGAACTATACACAGGAAAAATCCTTTTCCCCGGAAAGACAAATAACCACATGCTAAAACTTGCCATGGACCTGAAAGGAAAATTGCCTAATAAAGTAAGAATTCATCAGATATTACAAATTAGAACAAAATAGACAAAAAAAATAGACAAAATATTTTTTTGATATTCACAGATGATCAGGAAGGGTCTGTTCAAGGACCAGCACTTTGACCAAAACTCGAACTTTTTGTATACAGAGATCGACAAGGTCACTGAGAGGGTAAGTGTAAGGGCTGCATGATTTGGGGGAAAAAATTATCTATTTGTAATATTACTGATTTAAAATAATAATAAAAAATCTGAGTTTTTCAAGCGGCATCCTCCCGCTATCTCTCGTGAAGCCAACACGGAAGTGACTTAAACTGTAATTCGTCAACTGACCACTAGAGGCTGGCTGCAAAAGAGAGTCAATCCCATAGACTCCCCATGTTAAAATGCCCAACTTTACAGCAGAAAAAAACATGTTTAAAAATTATTTTGGTCTATATAGCTAAGTTTGCCCTTCATGACAACTGTGCTCCCACCTCTTTGTCCATTTTCGATTATCTAGGAGTGACGCGCTGCCAAGATGGCGACGGCCACCTCCGCCCACTTTGAGCTTCAAAAATGCTCTTCGGAAACCTATGAGTGACGTCATAGACACTACATCCATGTTTTTAATACTGTCTGTGGAGTTTTTCCAGGTTTGCTGTGCTTATTTATAGGACTGCACAGTTTGGCCAAAAGTTGTAATATATCAGCATGATTATATGTTTATTAGTTAGCTAATTAGCTGCCCACAATTTGAAATTTGTCTTTTGGCTTCATTATATAATAATAATAATAATGCTATTACTGAATAAAAATGTTATTACTTTTTTACTAAATAATAGTGTTATTATGAAATAAAAATATTAATATAAAGATAAATATCACTATTGCAATTTCACTGTAAAATAAAAAATACTGTATTTAAGAAAAATAATACAAATAAAAATTGTATTTTACAGTACAACTGTACTGTAAAATAAAGTACAACTGTAGACGCCAGGTTGCGCTCTCACTCTTACATCTAAGGGAGGACAGTTGTACTGTACCCCAAGTGAAAACCACTGATTTTGCAACTCTGCCAAGCCATTTTGTGATTTTCTTTTTCTTTTTTTCCAATTAATCATGCAGCCCTACTTTTATAACTATGAAAAATATCTGTATAGATTATTTCAGACTACTTAAAGCCATTTTTTATTCGACCTTTGACCTTTTTCTTATTCTTCCTCTCTACACCTATGTCTCTTTCTCTGCAGGAAAAGGTCACTGTCATGAGTACTATTAACCCAACTAAGGACCTGTCGATGGACATGGTGGGTCGCCAGGCGCTACCAGAGGACCAGCGAAAGAAGGTTGTTCAGCTCAAAGATCTGTTGGACCAGATTCTGATCCTGGATCCTGCCAAGCGGATCACCATCAACCAGGCATTACAGCATCCTTTTATCCAGGAGAGGATATGATCGGCAGCATATCTCAGAGATTTATGATGGTTTTGTATCTGCAGATATGACTCGGACAACAAAAGACGTTTGCATATTTTATTGCCATGCTGTTTTATTTGTAGTACATTTCAGAGCAGGACACAATCAAGATTTACTTTATTTTATTATTATTGTTATTATTAGATAGGGTGACCATATGTCCTCTTTTTGGACCTAAAAAAATGCGTCCGGCTGGGATTTCTAAATCAACCAATATGTCCGGGATTCGGCTTTTACTTTCTACAGTCGCCATTCATCGTGTGCATTTTTGTATTAAAGCCCTGCGCGGGACTGTTTTCTTAATCCCCCCCTGCTGAATTTCTTACCATTACTGCCTGCTCACGCAAACATTATAATATTGCATCATGTAATTTTCGCGCATCAGGGAGCCACTATCAGTATGCAGAGTATTTAAATCTCTTATGAATGAGCGTTCGCTGTTTACTTTCACTTTCGATTTTGGCGATCATGCGCACTCTGTGTAAAGGAAGCACATCTTTTAAGATCAGATATCTGTCAATCTGCTGAGCAGCAAATCCTTCAGGATCTGTCAGTCATCTCTCCTTACTGTCTCGACCCATGATCAGTTAAATCTGATGGATGCAGGGTTGCCAAGTCCACGTTTTTTCCCCATGGAATTGGGCTACTGTTGCCATATTGATTTCCCCTGTGGGTTAAAGGTTTGAAATAATGCATAAATTACATTTGACTGAAATGCTTGTAACATTGAAACATTTTGCATTCTACCCATGATAAACTGTGGTAGATGTTAAGTTTTGTGAAGGATTGCCACTGGCAAGAAGCCTTTTAGCTTTATGATCAATCTGCATAACAGTGACTGTAAAATATGTATTTTAGGTATGGAAATGACATATTTTGAGTTTGGAAATTATATAACCCCCCTCAAACCACCCACAAACCCAACCACCAATCACACATCACATCCCCCCGTCTGCTCCGGCCCCCACTGTCCTCTTTTTGGAAAACTGAAATATGGTCACCCTATATTAGATGACCTACAAGACACCCTGTAAGCTGTAAAGAGAAAATATTTCAAGATAATCTATATTGTTAAGATTGCATGCTTTATACACAGCTTTTTGCTAATAATAATGTCAAATATATTTGATATTATGCTCAATGTTCAGAGTGTAAAAATATCCATTTGTGTGCTAGGGGCACAGACTTTATATTTTATGTAAAATTCTACAATTTTATGTAAACCAAATATTACTTAACCACCAAGGACTGTTTAGAGCAGGGTTCCTCAAATCTTGCCCTGGAGGTCCAATGCGCTGCAGAGTTTAGCTCGAACCCTGATCAAACCCACCTACCTGTGATTTTCTAATGATCCTGAAGACATTGATTAGCATGCTCAGGTGTGTTTGATTAGGGTTAGAGCTAAACTCTGCAGGAAAGTGGATGTCGTGGGCCAGATTTGAGGATCCCTGGTTTAGAGTGTGACTTATTTAAGATCAGCATAAATGCTGTCTATATCCACCCTCCCTTAGGTGTGAGAGTGAGAACTCAACCTGGCGTGCAGGCCCACGGCATGCCCCTTGCCCTAGGTGTGTTTCTGCAGAATCTGAGGTCTTGGGTCCTGCTTGACCTGGTCTGCAGGGAAGGCCTCTGTAAAGGCAGGTTGTTGTACACCTCTATCGGTACACTGAAGGTAAGCGAATCCTTCCAAAACAAACGGGAACAATATTTTGCGTTCTTTTCAAGCCCAAAATAAAGTGTCATCATAATGCCCTTAAGGCTTCTCCTGCATGTTTACAAAATGTAATTTGGAGAAATGGACATGCATTGAAACCTTTTGTCACCCTTTTGCTCTGTACCAAAGCCTAGTGAGGCATCATAGATTTATATTATATTACTGTTCAAATGTTTGGGGTCGTTAATTTTTATTTGTTTAAAAATAATATTATGTAATATAATATATTTAAAGTTATATTATTACAATGAACAATTCCTGTGATGACAAAGCTGAATTTTCAGTAGCCATTACTCCAGTTTTTGCTGTCACATGATCCTTCAGAAATCATTCTAATATGCTGATTCAGTGATCAATAAGCATTTCTTATTATATTCAGTGTTAAAAATAATTGTGCTGCTTAGTACTTTTATGGAAAATATACCTTTTTTAGGATTCTTTGATGAATGTTCAAAAGAACAGCATTTATTTGTTGTCTTTTGTACCATAAATGTCTTTGCTGTCACTTTTTCATCCATTTAATGCAACCTTTCTGAATGAATGTATCCATTTCTTCCAAAAATAAATAAATAATAAACCCTCCTGACCCCATATTTTGAATGGTAGTATACATTGTGCAATACTAAAAAGCATTATAAAAAAAGTGTCAAATGGAAAACAATTTTACTCAGATTTTGAATGACGTGCATTTATTATGTTTGATATAGTATCGCAATCGAGAACCTATGTAGAGCATTCCAAAACATTCACTTTTGAGGTGCTGCCTTATTATGCAATGTAGGGAGGCAGCTTCACTAGATTTTGGAACAGAGCTTCTGTTGTGGTGTTTCTCACAGAGACAAAACAGTCAGTATGAATGAAAAGACTGACTATCGCTTTCTCAAAAATGGAAGGAACCGGTTACGGTTGACATTAAGGGTAAGAGTAAATCCAAGTAGTTGCAATGGACTAAGCACCTTCAGTGTACTGCCTCTGATAGACATACCTCACCTTTTTCAGAGTTGTCACACTTATGTGTCATAGTTTTTGTACAATCTATTGAGTGCTTTTCAATATGCATGAGAAAATGTAATATGTATGGCTTCCAATGCACTACTGTACAAATCCTCTGGTGTTTTTCATTATGCGTAGGCAATTTAGATGCCTTTTTTGTGACTGTTCTTGTGTTTGTGACCATGTTGTCTTTTGATACAGGGGTTTTCCTGCTCTGATCTATGAATCTGCTTGTTACAAGCGGTAATTGCTTCTTTATTCGTATCTACAAGCCAATTTTTGCCTAAACCCAATAAATACCTCCTAAATTTGCAATTTATAAGCAATTAATTCTTATAATTCATACACCATATATAATGCATATATACAATGCAAGTTCCTAAAATAAATTGACTCAATGTACATAAAAATTGTTACAATCTGGTATTAAACATTCCAGATTTATCAACCCAAAGGTAATGCTATTCCTTTTTAAGAAATACATGTTTGCATGTCGTCCACAAAAGGAACCATTCCTTTAACCACAACTAACCATTTTCAATTCTATTTTCAGGGTAAGTGTTAAAATTTTCCCTACTTTCATGGCCACATGTGACTCCCAAGTGTGAGAGAGATCCTGATGGCCAGCTGCTGTCCTACTCTATTATTGAAGTGCCTTTCAAGTGCTCATCTTCTTATCCATTCAAGGGGGAAATTACCGACATCTGTGCACAGCATAACAATATGTTCATTTTTTTTGTCCGATTATACAGCCAATATTTCACAAGAATATTAATAAATGGTGAATTTTAAAATTACTTATTGTCTGGTTTTGTTTCATTTTTACGTAGAAGTCTTTTGATAAATTAATAACACTGTATTACAGTTAGTTTTGCTGCATGTGGTTAGTGCATGTCCCTTATCACTTGACTATCAATAAAAAGCACCCAAAAGCCCACAAATAAAACCAAGAGCTACTGAAGAAATGTTTTGGGTTACTGTGTAAGATGTTTTTCCCCAAAACTGAAGTTATTTTTCTGTGGTAACTGACGGCATACCACAAATGTTGTTCATGGAGCTCAACTTGTATTGAATTTGAAACAATAAATACAGTAACATGCACACAGGTAATAACACACTGTCAATCTTCAAGCTTAAAAAATAATTGTTTTCTTGCAAAGAGCTTTAGCAGGAACACTAGACTTTTCAGAGGAAGTCTTCTGATGCTTTGGCATGGCTTTCTTTGTGGGTTTGCATCTCTTGGAACTATTTGGACTATTGCATTTTAGTGACATGCTCGAATTAACAACAAGATCTTGAACAAGGGCTTCAGTCTTCTTTAATTTGACCACACCAGAGTGTGGCTTCTTGGGTAAAGCTGGTGGCTGCTGAAATCCAATCCACATCTTCCCAGAATTTGGCGAGGGGCGATTACATTGCATAGACTTTGAATGAGTGCTTGTAGAGAGGTTGCGTTTTGTAACATCTTCTAAACCTGAATTATTTCCTTTAGTCCTGAAGTGTTCTACCTGAGAACAAGGGCTTTCCACACGTCTCAGACGACTGGCGCTTCGAACCAAAGCAGTTGCTGGACGAGATCTGGCTGCTTTTCCTTGTTCTTTCTGTATAGTCGCAGTTTGAAGTTTCTCCAGCTTTATCATGCGTGCAGCCATAGCTGGGAGACAAGGGTCAGTTAAACACAGGTTGTGCTGGCTATCCAGATCATCTGCTATGGATAGCAACTGACTAAAGTTGAGCTCTTTGAGTGGAAATGGAAGAACCTCAGGATACACTTGCTCTCCTTTTCCTTCTGCAAGTTCTAGATCTCTATCAAATGAGTCTGGCCTCAGGTCCAATTCTACAGCAGTTTCCCATTTTAATATAGGTTTATTGTCTTTCTCTTGGTCAGAGAGGTCACTGTTTTCAGATTCGACTGATTCGGATGGTTCATTATTGGATCTGCTACAAAGGGAATTACTGATTGCCTTGATCTCATCTGGTCGTTCGCCCCTTGGAGAAACAATGCGTCTGACCTGTATGGGGTGGATTTCCAGTTCTATTCTGGTTTCTACCTCAGGTTTATGTTGAGAAATGTGTTCTTGTGTGTCCCAGAGGATTGGAGGCTGAAGACCAAGCCTCTGCCATCTGTGTGACAGCATCCTTAACTGGGTTTTATGATGTTGCTTTGAGCTGAAGAAAATAATTAGTACAGAAACAGCAATTACAGGAGAAATATTTCTCTAGATGCCATGTAACTTCTTCAATAGATGTCCAAGCACTGTGGCATGGAGTATCAATTCCAGGTTGGCAAAGCGTGAGAAGTCTAGTGTTGCAGCATGATACAAACAAAGCTACATCCAGTTCAACAAAAGGTTAAGATTCCTGGCAAACACGTCAAGTCTCTGTGCCAAGTCCTGATCTACATTTCTAAGATATTCATTTTACATTAAACGCAAATTAAATAAAAAAAACATAATAGAACACCTACTGCAAATAATACTGCCACTGCCAGCATAATTAGGATTGATATTTCAAAACACTTTACACTTAAATGACCCTGTCACACTAATGGCTGTCATCTGGCTGGCAATGCGTGACGGGTCAGTAAGAAGTCAGTATCTACTTACACTTTGGATGATTTTGTTTGGCTGCAACAGGTGGGTGGTTCCTGTGCCATACAGGCATTAGAAATGCTGCCTACCAAAGATACCTGCGAAATAAAATGCATTGCAATCTTTATTGAAATATACAAAGACTTATCTATATGCACACATATTACTTACAAATATATAATTGGTACTGAATGTCACAAAATATCAAACATTGAAATGAACTCTACCTTTTATTATTTTTATTTTATTTATATATTTGTATTAATTTTTTTCAAAGAAATGCCACTTGGTTTGATGCTTTATTATCTAATGCAATAACATTCAGACATTTTAAGTGTCTAAATACATTTATTACACCTTGGAGTTACTGTACATTCATATTTATATATATATATAAACTAAATAATACTCAGTTACAGTCGCAGCTAAAGTAACTTCATATGCAGAAGAAACATTGATACCTGTTGTGTGTTCACTGCCACAGACATGTACAGACTTTCCAGTCGCTGTACTAACTGAGTAATGTAGACGTCCTGTGAACAGAATATTCAAACAAGAGTGTCAATAGACAAATGATATGTCATCTAAAGTTACCTCTGTGGACACACTAGTTATATGTAATATGTCTATTAAAAACATTTCACTAGCAGAGATAAAAAAATTTATTTATTACTATTTGAAACCTTTTGTTGGCAAAGACAAAGTAGTGAAGGTTCAAAGTTTAAAACAAGATATTTACCCCAAAACCCCAATTGATGACATGCTACTACTGGACTATGATAATATAAAGGTTCTGTTTCTTTTGGGTCCCATATAAAGGATCCTATTCATAGGAATAAACCCCTTACCTTATCACACTCTGCTGACCAAGAGGCACCTGGGATGAAACAAGTTGTCAAGATAAAACATCCCTGCAAGTCTGGAACGAAACTATGAAAAGTGTGCCGTAGACATGCACTCACCTTCAAGCGGTGGTGGAGTGAGATCTGTCCGAAACCTGCTCTGGACCCGCCAGTTACACTAAAATGATTACGTACATAAGCCAAATTCACATGACAAGTACAGACAGACTTATATTTATAGACTCATATTTCTTTTCGTAATACTCTATGAAGACCCCATTTCAAATCTGGATTGACCTCAAAGTCTCCCACTGACACTTGCAGCAGGTAAGCGATGATGTAATGCTAATTTGCATACTGACATGTGATTGGTTTTCGGTTGTCTTCTATTTACATATTACATTGTGATTGTTTTCTTCCTTACGTGCATTTCACATTTATATCACTGCCACTTACAGTAGGTGCAGTAGACGGGTATTTAGTAGGTGCGCTGCAAGCCACTCCATTATTATGCGACTTCCTGCTGTTTTTATCCCTCGTGCTTTCCATAGAACAATCATTGATCCTTTCGACCGGATAAGAACATGTGGAATGTTCTTCCAAGTGTTCCTCTTTCTTTGTCGTCCAAGTTCCCGGAGGTCGCAGAAATTTGATGAGTGAACTTCATTATATCTCGTCAAAATGTAATCATATAGCCTATGTCAAAAGTGAAAGCGCACGCGACTTCCTCCTCCAACACAAATAATGGAATGCTGAAACCATGGCAACCCTTCACTGCCTTTTAGTCCACGTGTATTCTAGTTTTATAATCTGTGTGCTAGGATAATCCTAAACACCGAAAAAGATGAAAACGCATGTTTTTAAATATGTTTAACATTTTAAACATGTTTCCTGCTTGGAAAAAATGTGCATGTTCATCACTAGGGGGAGTCTAATAGACACAAAAGGGTTTTAAAGACAAACATCTGACCAACATATTGAATTAAGCTTGTAGATTTGATACGTCACACCGTGCATGTAGTGTTTATCCTTTTTATTATGGTTTATGTATTTTTTTTTAATGTAATATTTAACCTCAGATTATCAGTGACTGAAAAGCCAGCGTCAGTCACATGTACCTGCACACAGTGGAAAGAACATACATTGGCTTGTCTGCCACTTCCTGTCGTGAGCACAGCAGGCAGACAGATTTAAGTTGTGTTTGTGCTTTGTGGTTATCTGTCCCTGTCTGCACTGCACAAATATAGTCAGCAGCAAAGGAACTGCAATGCCTTTAACATTTAGTAGCCTATTTACTATTAAAAATAAATAAATCAACCAAAATAAAAAGCCAAAGCTATGACTACATTTTATTCAGCAGTTTTTAATCAGTAGATAAGGTAGAGTTATTATGTACAAAGGTAGACGTTGTGCATCACTTTGAATTCAAGGTACTTTTTGAGGGTGTTGTGTGTTGATTTTTGTCATTCTTGTGTATGGTGTGTGCAAGCACGTCTGTTTTCAAGTGAGTGTAGCCTATATGTGTCTCCCCACAACACCCACAGTGAGTAAACCAGACAGATAATGTACGTCATAGTCCCAACGGTCCTTGCCACAGTACGCATTTGTGGCCGTCTGCCAGATTTGAATGACTGGTATCACATTTAAAAGTTGTTAGTTATTCTCACCTGTATATTAATAGAAATAAGACATGGTGAGAAAGTGTTAAATGATAATTGCCACTGGAAAAGTACCCTCAAAAGCTCTTATTTACTAACTTATTTAGCCATAAAGGGAGTCTATTAGATACCCTTAAGCCACCATTTAGGGGTAGAAAATGTATCTGTATCTAATGATATCAATGCATGATGGAGAAAATGTGTTTAAGCATATGTGTGTGTGTGTGTGTGTGTGTGTGCATGTTTATGTGGTTTATGAGGACACAAATTTGTATAATAACATGGCTATGACATAGGTATTACAACGAGAAGGTGATTTATGAGGACATTTTCAGTATCCCCGTAATTCAAAAGGCTTATAAATAATTCAGAATGAGTTTTTTTGAAAATCTAAAAATGCAGAAAGTTTCCTGTTAGGGGTAGGTTTAGTGTAGGGCAATAGAAAATACGGTTTGTACAGTATAAAAACCATTACGCCTAAATTCAGGTTTTATTGATTTTTTGTATTTAATATACTGTTTGAAGTTTTACAAAAGGAGCAGCAAATACACATTATTTTTTGGTGTGATGTAAAAACAAAACATAGACACAAATACCCTTAATGTACACAACTGGCTTTAAACCATGAATAAAAACATTCACAGTTATACTTTTACAGCAACAAAAAGACAAAAACATCATAATATAATAACATTTATAAACATTAATAATTTTTGGGGAAAAAAATACTTTTAGAAGAAATTCAGTGCTCGTACACGACAAATCATGTTGCTATACAACATTTAGATATTAATGCTGAACAAGAGATGGAAAATAATGTTACAGTTAAATGGACAAAACAGTAACCTTGCACTTTCCCTGCCACAGCACTGTTTGTGGATTTGACATTCATATTAATGGCCCAGTCAAACAAAGAGAACTCTTGTTATGCAATATTCAAGGCTGCATTCATCTCATTGTGGTGAGCAGGTTACTTCACCCTCTGCCAGACAGCATGTTTTCAAGCATGCTCTTATGGAACCTCAGACTTCTGCTTTGAAACTCAGATGCTAAGCACCTGCAGCAAAACAGAAGCTTTTGCTAAGCGAACTTCACTGACAGTGTTCTGACACTGATCACAATGAGAGTGCATTGGTGGTCTCTGTGTCTGACATAATAGAGGGCCGTGGCATCTTGGGGCTCTTGAGGGTTGGAAGACAGCCAAGGCTATGGAAAATTCGAATCACATCTTTTCGGAAACGCACTCCAACGAAGACATAAAGGAACGGATTTAGGCAGCTGTGCATGTAAGCAAGACTCTTCATAACTTGGGCGGCGATGTCAAAGCGCTTGACCTCTTCGCAGTTTGTGATGGTCATATTGGCTGCCTGAGTGGCTTCGAAGACCAACATGCCGTTGTACGGAAGCTGAGAGACAACAAACACGGCCACAACCATCAGGATGACCCGCAGGGCCTTGTGCTTCACAAAGTTCCTCGTCTTGAGCAAGGTGCGGATGATGTTGGCATAGCAGAAGATCATTACTATGAGAGGGATGCAGAAGCCCATGCAGATCTGGAGAGCCAGGACCAATATTTTTGTACGATTGTTTTCATTGTTCCAGTAGACCATCATGCAAAAGTGATTGCCCTCATCGTCCATTTTCAAACGAAGCACTGTGGCATGGAGTATCAATTCCAGGTTGGCAAAGCGTGAGAAGTCTAGTGTTGCAGCATGATACAAACAAAGCTACATCCAGTTCAACAAAAGGTTAAGATTCCTGTCAAACACGTCAAGTCTCTGTGCCAAGTCCTGATCTACATTTCTAAGATATTCATTTTACATTAAACGCAAATTAAATAAAAAAACAGAACACCTACTGCAAATAATACTGCCACTGCCAGCATAATTAGGATTGATATTTCAAAACACTTTACACTTAAATGACCCTGTCACACTAATGGCTGTCATCTGGCTGGCAATGCGTGACGGGTCAGTAAGAAGTCAGTATCTACTTACACTTTGGATGATTTTGTTTGGCTGCAACAGGTGGGTGGTTCCTGTGCCATACTGGCATTAGAAATGCTGCCTACCAAAGATACCTGCGAAATAAAATGCATTGCAATCTTTATTGAAATATACAAAGACTTATCTATATGCACACATATTACTTACAAATATATAATTGGTACTGAATGTCACAAAATATCAAACATTGAAATGAACTCTACCTTTTATTATTTTTATTTTATTTATATATTTGTATTAATTTTTTTCAAAGAAATGCCACTTGGTTTGATGCTTTATTATCTAATGCAATAACATTCAGACATTTTAAGTGTCTAAATACATTTATTACACCTTGGAGTTACTGTACATTCATATTTATATATATATATAAACTAAATAATACTCAGTTACAGTCGCAGCTAAAGTAACTTCATATGCAGAAGAAACATTGATACCTGTTGTGTGTTCACTGCCACAGACATGTACAGACTTTCCAGTCGCTGTACTAACTGAGTAATGTAGACGTCCTGTGAACAGAATATTCAAACAAGAGTGTCAATAGACAAATGATATGTCATCTAAAGTTACCTCTGTGGACACACTAGTTATATGTAATATGTCTATTAAAAACATTTCACTAGCAGAGATAAAAAAAATTATTTATTACTATTTGAAACCTTTTGTTGGCAAAGACAAAGTAGTGAAGGTTCAAAGTTTAAAACAAGATATTTACCCCAAAACCCCAATTGATGACATGCTACTACTGGACTATGATAATATAAAGGTTCTGTTTCTTTTGGGTCCCATATAAAGGATCCTATTCATAGGAATAAACCCCTTACCTTATCACACTCTGCTGACCAAGAGGCACCTGGGATGAAAAGTTGTCAAGATAAAACATCCCTGCAAGTCTGGAACGAAACTATGAAAAGTGTGCCGTAGACATGCACTCACCTTCAAGCGGTGGTGGAGTGAGATCTGTCCGAAACCTGCTCTGGACCCGCCAGTTACACTAAAATGATTACGTACATAAGCCAAATTCACATGACAAGTACAGACAGACTTATATTTATAGACTCATATTTCTTTTCGTAATACTCTATGAAGACCCCATTTCAAATCTGGATTGACCTCAAAGTCTCCCACTGACACTTGCAGCAGGTAAGCGATGATGTAATGCTAATTTGCATACTGACATGTGATTGGTTTTCGGTTGTCTTCTATTTACATATTACATTGTGATTGTTTTCTTCCTTACGTGCATTTCACATTTATATCACTGCCACTTACAGTAGGTGCAGTAGACGGGTATTTAGTAGGTGCGCTGCAAGCCACTCCATTATTATGCGACTTCCTGCTGTTTTTATCCCTCGTGCTTTCCATAGAACAATCATTGATCCTTTCGACCGGATAAGAACATGTGGAATGTTCTTCCAAGTGTTCCTCTTTCTTTGTCGTCCAAGTTCCCGGAGGTCGCAGAAATTTGATGAGTGAACTTCATTATATCTCGTCAAAATGTAATCATATAGCCTATGTCAAAAGTGAAAGCGCACGCGACTTCCTCCTCCAACACAAATAATGGAATGCTGAAACCATGGCAACCCTTCACTGCCTTTTAGTCCACGTGTATTCTAGTTTTATAATCTGTGTGCTAGGATAATCCTAAACACCGAAAAAGATGAAAACGCATGTTTTTAAATATGTTTAACATTTTAAACATGTTTCCTGCTTGGAAAAAATGTGCATGTTCATCACTAGGGGGAGTCTAATAGACACAAAAGGGTTTTAAAGACAAACATCTGACCAACATATTGAATTAAGCTTGTAGATTTGATACGTCACACCGTGCATGTAGTGTTTATCCTTTTTATTATGGTTTATGTATTTTTTTTTAATGTAATATTTAACCTCAGATTATCAGTGACTGAAAAGCCAGCGTCAGTCACATGTACCTGCACACAGTGGAAAGAACATACATTGGCTTGTCTGCCACTTCCTGTCGTGAGCACAGCAGGCAGACAGATTTAAGTTGTGTTTGTGCTTTGTGGTTATCTGTCCCTGTCTGCACTGCACAAATATAGTCAGCAGCAAAGGAACTGCAATGCCTTTAACATTTAGTAGCCTATTTACTATTAAAAATAAATAAATCAACCAAAATAAAAAGCCAAAGCTATGACTACATTTTATTCAGCAGTTTTTAATCAGTAGATAAGGTAGAGTTATTATGTACAAAGGTAGACGTTGTGCATCACTTTGAATTCAAGGTACTTTTTGAGGGTGTTGTGTGTTGATTTTTGTCATTCTTGTGTATGGTGTGTGCAAGCACGTCTGTTTTCAAGTGAGTGTAGCCTATATGTGTCTCCCCACAACACCCACAGTGAGTAAACCAGACAGATAATGTACGTCATAGTCCCAACGGTCCTTGCCACAGTACGCATTTGTGGCCGTCTGCCAGATTTGAATGACTGGTATCACATTTAAAAGTTGTTAGTTATTCTCACCTGTATATTAATAGAAATAAGACATGGTGAGAAAGTGTTAAATGATAATTGCCACTGGAAAAGTACCCTCAAAAGCTCTTATTTACTAACTTATTTAGCCATAAAGGGAGTCTATTAGATACCCTTAAGCCACCATTTAGGGGTAGAAAATGTATCTGTATCTAATGATATCAATGCATGATGGAGAAAATGTGTTTAAGCATATGTGTGTGTGTGTGTGTGTGTGTGCATGTTTATGTGGTTTATGAGGACACAAATTTGTATAATAACATGGCTATGACATAGGTATTACAACGAGAAGGTGATTTATGAGGACATTTTCAGTATCCCCGTAATTCAAAAGGCTTATAAATAATTCAGAATGAGTTTTTTTGAAAATCTAAAAATGCAGAAAGTTTCCTGTTAGGGGTAGGTTTAGTGTAGGGCAATAGAAAATACGGTTTGTACAGTATAAAAACCATTACGCCTAAATTCAGGTTTTATTGATTTTTTGTATTTAATATACTGTTTGAAGTTTTACAAAAGGAGCAGCAAATACACATTATTTTTTGGTGTGATGTAAAAACAAAACATAGACACAAATACCCTTAATGTACACAACTGGCTTTAAACCATGAATAAAAACATTCACAGTTATACTTTTACAGCAACAAAAAGACAAAAACATCATAATATAATAACATTTATAAACATTAATAATTTTTGGGGAAAAAAATACTTTTAGAAGAAATTCAGTGCTCGTACACGACAAATCATGTTGCTATACAACATTTAGATATTAATGCTGAACAAGAGATGGAAAATAATGTTACAGTTAAATGGACAAAACAGTAACCTTGCACTTTCCCTGCCACAGCACTGTTTGTGGATTTGACATTCATATTAATGGCCCAGTCAAACAAAGAGAACTCTTGTTATGCAATATTCAAGGCTGCATTCATCTCATTGTGGTGAGCAGGTTACTTCACCCTCTGCCAGACAGCATGTTTTCAAGCATGCTCTTATGGAACCTCAGACTTCTGCTTTGAAACTCAGATGCTAAGCACCTGCAGCAAAACAGAAGCTTTTGCTAAGCGAACTTCACTGACAGTGTTCTGACACTGATCACAATGAGAGTGCATTGGTGGTCTCTGTGTCTGACATAATAGAGGGCCGTGGCATCTTGGGGCTCTTGAGGGTTGGAAGACAGCCAAGGCTATGGAAAATTCGAATCACATCTTTTCGGAAACGCACTCCAACGAAGACATAAAGGAACGGATTTAGGCAGCTGTGCATGTAAGCAAGACTCTTCATAACTTGGGCGGCGATGTCAAAGCGCTTGACCTCTTCGCAGTTTGTGATGGTCATATTGGCTGCCTGAGTGGCTTCGAAGACCAACATGCCGTTGTACGGAAGCTGAGAGACAACAAACACGGCCACAACCATCAGGATGACCCGCAGGGCCTTGTGCTTCACAAAGTTCCTCGTCTTGAGCAAGGTGCGGATGATGTTGGCATAGCAGAAGATCATTACTATGAGAGGGATGCAGAAGCCCATGCAGATCTGGAGAGCCAGGACCAATATTTTTGTACGATTGTTTTCATTGTTCCAGTAGACCATCATGCAAAAGTGATTGCCCTCATCGTCCATTTTCAAACGAGCGAAGAGAAACTCTGGAATGGACATCACAGCCGCCAGGAGCCATACTAACACACAAATGAGTTTGCTGTACAGGAGACGAACCCTCTTGGAGTTCTGCGCTTTGGTAGTTTGGACAATCACTATGTAGCGGTCGACACTGATGCAGGTGAGTAGAAACATGCTGCTGAAGAAATTGATTTTGTAAATGGCAGAGACGATTTTGCAGAGGGCCGAGCCAAAGGTCCAACCGTAGATGGAATCGGCGGCCCAGAAGGGCAGAGTGCAGAGGAAGAACAAGTCGGCCAGAGCCAGGTTCAGTAGATAAACATCTGTCATCGACTTCAGGCGATTTTTGAAGTATGTGTATATCCAGACCACCAGAGTGTTGCCAATGGCTCCCAGAATCACAATTATCCAGTAGAGAGTAGGCTCATAGTACCTTCGAAACTCTCGCACTGATGATCTCTCACATATTGACCCGTCTTCATAATCACCCATAGTTGTGGGAGAATCTTCATAATCCTGTGAAATATAG